CTTTCATTTACTGTAGAGATCATGTCAGTTTCTTGTGCAGTCAGTTACAGTATATTCGTATTTGCAAGTATAAAGTTGTAAAAGGCTTTTAATGCTCAATTATTTTGTCAGACATATTAAGCATGATTGTTCGGTCACAATGAGGCTTATCGGGTGCATATAGGTTTCACCATATCACAGGAAGACATTGTTTCCCATTGCATATTGTAATGAGAACAATGCAATTATTTTTATTTCATGATGATATTGTACTGTTGGAAATTGTTGTACAACCCCCCACCACCCCACCCCCCCTCAGAATTTCCTGCGACGCACTTGCGAGATAAGTGCTTTTCTGCCAAGGAATGTGCACCTCCGCCTCTACTTCACTTTCAGAGGGACTCTCACATGAGATTAATGTCCACCTTCTGCCCAGTTACAGATACACGGCGGTAATCTCTTTGCTTTCACAGGAGTTATGACACTGGCCTCATGAGCTCCAATACTTCAGCTACTTGTTTTCCTTTTCATTTTCAGCATGTGGGACAGAGATGTTTTTTCCCTGCTCTGTGACCCTTCAACTCTGAAGAGAGGTTATTAAAACAGGGGGGCAGTTCAGTGATCACTGCAGTCTCACTTCAGTCTTTATGAAGCGGGCCTCCTGGTGCATGGCCTCAAACACGTCCGCTCTGTGTTAAGGGACGCTCATCAGCTACCTTGATACGTATAATTGTGCCTGAAATTACATCACTTCCCTAAAGTCTGCAGATGCATTTCTGCCTATCATCGCAAAATTCTTGGTTGATGTTTCTTCCTCCTTTTCAGTAAGCTTTTTATGGTAATTTACACACAAATTTTACACTTTGTGGTACAGTGATATATCTTGTGGCCAATGTAAAAAAAATATTGCTCATCATTGTTTTTGAATGAATTCATTCATTGATTTAATTTTTCACAGAAATATCCTAATAATTGTTTTTGTGCGGAATGTGTGTGTGCGTGTGTTTGTCTATGTGTGTGTGTGTGTGTGTGTCTGTTGGGGGAGTGCAGCAACATGAATGTACAGGTTAAGCTATTTATTTTGTTTAGCACCCAGTATGAGTCAAATATTCTCAAATGCACTTTCAGTTTTTCCCCCCTCACTCTCCTGAGCTTGTACGATTTATTTGTTTTCTACAAGGTCTGGATGTGTTTACAGGTACTCATGGGAAATCTCTGGATCAGATTCAAATCTTTCCTAGTCAGAGTGGGTGCTAAGATACCCTGTCACCCAGCAACCGCATCCAAGAGGGAGCCAGGGTGATAATAACTTCAAAAAACAGAGTGACAGATGCCTGATTAGGATGAAAGAGGGAGAGGGAGAATGCATGAAAAATTAGGCCTGTTAAAATCAGAAATTCATTCAAGCACCTTCACACAAATGAATATTGCAGCCCTGCATCTCGTGAGCTATAGTATTTACATTGATTGGTCAAAAAAGGGGATTCATTTAAAACCATAAATGTGATTTTTACACTAATTAACAGTCAAAGGGGTGCTGTGTTTGGAATGGAATTAGCCACCTGTGTTCAGAGCTGACGTGCATTTGACATATGCCAGCAAATGTTTTGTGACGACATAAAGGTTATAAAGGGAAATGATAATTGATTTGTAGACATGGCATTAATATAAGAGGAGTTTGCAGCAGTGGTTTACTGTGATTGAAAGGCGTTTGAAGCTTGCCATATGAACAGGAACACATTTTACAAGGTCTTCACATTAAATATTGTAATTAGTACACTTGTGCACTTGTAGTATTGAAAAGAAAACCTATATTTGAAATTTCTCAACCCTTTTAAATTTCTGTTTGATTATCTTGGGAACAACAGTTCTGTGCTTTTGATTTACATTTGTTTGCACTGAAGAGACTTGCATGCCTAATATGCCTGTTGTTTTGTAAAAACTGCTCAAGCTCTCATCTTATTTGCATGTTCTTATTGGTTGGATGAAGTACAGTTGAGAACAATACGTGTCCATGCTGTTTCATTCTTATTTTAAATAGCTTGGCTGTGAGATGGATAGCTGGTAGACTGCTGAAAGTTCAAACCTATGCATATTTATTTTAATCATTCTTATTCTAATTATCTGAGGCCAAAAAAAGAATAAACTTTCATATATTGTATTGTTTTTTATTATTACAGATACAAGCTAAACTTATATGTGCAAATAATCTATCACAGCACTTTCGATAAAGAAGTTACAGTTTACAGAAAATGTATTATATATTTCACTCAGTGGGGTAAAAGGAACAAGGATTTTGAGCACCAAAAAAACCTATGTAATTCTTAAAATGTGTGAAGGAACGGCAGTATGAAGCTGATTTTCCATTTTGGAAGGTTTGTTTGACCAAAAAACTATGTATTTGGGGTTATTATGTTTTAGAACTTGGCTTTACACAAACTGGCATTTCTTTAGACACCAGCTCTGTGCATTACAGCATATTTAGGGACTATGGCAGAAATCACTGGTGCTTGTACAAGGACGTTAAATGCTACTGACAGAAGTTAGAAGGAGCAGATGAGATTTCCTGATTGGAGAATGAATCCAGGCCTTACCCTGGCACTGTCTAATATGGTCACGTAGAGAAATTGATTTTCTTCAGAAATTAATTAATTTTTCATATAGCCCTAAGCTGCAGTTTAAAAAGAGTGTGCACTTGCTGGTTTCTTCTTTTTTTCGTCCTTTTTTTTAAAGAATTATTGCCTAATCATATTAATACTTTTGCCCCAAGGATGAAAAGATAATTGTACAAATGCATTTGGAAATATGTATCACTGAGTATTTATGATTAAATTATGCAAATAACTCTGCTTCCATCCTTCGCGGCCCCAGATTGTCTAATTAGGATTGATATGCCGAATAGATGTTGGGGAATCTGAATACAAGCATGTCCAAAGAGCAGAAAATTGAAAATGACAAGGCTGGAATCCTTAAAAAGTGTGTTTTTTCACTGTCTAATTCAGCGTTGCTGTATCAGGAGTTCATTTTCCCTGGCTTCATTTCTCGTTGGCACTGACAGGAGAAAGAATACATCAGGGAAGAGGTCTCAAATGGGATTCCAAAAATTTCCTCTACTTCTTGTTCTCCATTTTAATTTTTATGAAGGATATCAAAGATCAGTTCACCACAACATAAACAATAATGTTGTCTTAACAGTTTAACAGAGTTTTTTTGCAATACATTTTGTACATTCTGTACAACTGGCATAGAACTAGATCTAAGCATTTTTAAAGTGCCATAAATTTTATTTTGATTGGTTACCTTTTTCCTTTTTTAGTTTTGGCAGTGTAACTAGAATGAAGAATAGTGGTAATTATTTTCTGTTAATGGAAAAGGTCAAGGGAGTCCCTTTACTTGTGAAAATGATGTTTTGAGTCTTTGAAGGCACTCTCAAAATTCAGCTGAGAGCTACAATAGATTAGCTGTTCATGTTTTACCAAAACTTTGTGTAACAGAAGCCTATGTGACTCACTGGTCAAAAGACGGTGGTTATTCCAGCACTGAGGAGAGTCATCATGACTGGCAACCCTTTCTGCTTATTACTGAATCCTTACTGTTGAGTCACAAGTTTTAATACAAAGCAGACCAGATACAATTGGAAGTGAACCACAGAGTAAATCCATGTAAGATGTAGACTGGATAAAGTTATAACAGGGTTGATTGTTACATGGCTGCAAGCTCAAATCAGTCGTCTTGGTCTTATCCACTTTAATCTTGTGAGCTCTGCTGGCAGTTGTGCTGCTTCATCATATCCCCATTTCTAAATGCAGCCAATAATGTTGACCGTCAGTATTGGCCATGGTTACAAATTCTGAACATTTGTAAATCCAAGTGAACATGTTGTTGTATGGAATTTGGTATTTTTTGTATTTGGTTCCTGCTGCCTTCATACTGTATTTGGTTCAAAAGAGATGCTTGCAGCTTGGGCTGATATAAGATATCTATTAAAGTCCTGATTGGTGTATAATCTGTACCTGGCAGGGGAAAGCCCCCACAGCTAATGACACATGAGAGTCTCACAAAATTATTTCACTGCTCATAGCATCTGCTTACCTGAAATTGTCTGACACAACTCAGATTACCAGGCCTCTCTGCAGAACTGTCCATGGAGTCCCTTTTTGTATATTGGGCTATACAAACACAATTTCGTCCAAACAATGCTGATTGTTATTTTGAGAGATCTCCCAGGAGGCATGGTGGAACATTACAGCTGCATTTATGTGTTTGGCACCATAACTAATTATGTTTCACAAGGTTAAATATGAGTAACTGTTGCATAGGTCAAAAATGCAAAGTACACATTTTCAATTAGACTGGGGTGGGTATTTTATGGTTATGGCACAATTAGATTGATGGGGAAAGCTGTGAACAAAAATGACACTTTAGTATTGCAACTGTAAAATGTATGTAAATGTGTTAAAAAGTTTAAGAAAAACCAAGAAACATCAGGCGTAATTGTCCTATTGGGTTGGGATTCAGCCGGAGTCAGCAAGCAATTCTCTAGATACGGTTGAGTTACAGTGCAATACTTGATCATAATGGTTTTTAGTTAAAACTACTGTATTGATCATAATGACTGCTCATAGTCAGGACCTAACTTTAATTAAAATGTATCAGTATGAAAGAAGCGATCCTCCTTATGTAAACCTCATGGTAAATTCATACAGATAATCTTTGCAGAGGAATGTGCTTTTAAAAAAATGTGCACCCGTAGAATAAAAGGAATAATAGTATGTAATAATGAATATAAGGTTGCTGTTCATGTTGATGAATATAATGATTACTACAGTTGCTTGAATCTGAACACATATTTTATGGATATTATACTTTAATAGCTTGCAATAATGACATTAAATTTGTTTGGCTATTGGTTTTAGCCAAAGCAACATACAGTCGAATAGATTTAGCAGGGGCCAGTTCCCCTGGAGGAAATGTGAGGTTAAGGGCCTTACTCAAGGGCCCAGCAGCTGCAGTGAACCTTTTGTGACTACACTTGGGTTTGACCCGCCAAACTTTTGATCCCCAGTCAAGCACCTTAGCCTCTAGGCTATAGGCACCCCTTGCTAAGACCCTTATAGATCTGTGTAAATCTGTAGTCTTGCATTACACAGGTCTCATATCTGATCTTATGGCTGAAATGGAAAGTGCCCTCTCTGAGGCCCACTTCAGCTGGACAGAATTGAGGGGTTTAAATGAGCAACAAGGAAGGTTTGAATGTGCATCCCTCTGGGGCCTGAGCCAATGAGGTCCCTCGAGCAACAGCTTAGTCCGACAGTTATCATAAGCTTGGATTTCTCAGGTAACTCACATCGTTACTTGCAGCCACGACTCCCTGATGTTAGTAGTGACTGCTAGGTGATGCTTAGCGTTTGTACAGTGACAGCAGAATCACAATGATTATGTAGACATTTAGATCCCTCTGTTTTGCTCCATACCACAACTTTAACAGTGAAGTCTGTAGGATTTTTTTTTTTACCTAACTGAAGGTGCCTGGGCCTTCTTGTAAAAAGGCTTGGTCTGGCTTGTCCCACACTGATTAATATTTTCATGGAAATTTTTTTTTTCTTGTATAGAAACATGGCTATTCCAGCCTTTTTCAAAAGTGCAAAGATGTCCTTGTCAGGGAACAGAATCTGCTAGACGGGGTCATTAAATGGGCTATTTACATTATGTTTGTACAGCAGGCAATGTAAGGCTAACCTCTGGGACCTTGCATGATGAGGACTTATAGATCTATATACTTGTTGGGTACAGTGTGCCTTCCTCAAAAAGTTGTGTTTTAGTGTTAAGCTGGATCCTATTTTCTAATTGTGACTTTTCCCTCCTCTTAGTTACCTAGTTTGCTTGTGTCTGGGTTTAAGCCCAGTCATTACTCAAGGACTAACCCGCAGGCTCCTGAGCTACATCAGACTGGTATTGGCAAAAAAATATTGATGAAGCATTTTCAGAATTTACAAAAAGGATTCATGACATAATGCTGGGAATGAGCTGCAATTTTTAAAAAGAGCATGGTGGAGAAAAGAAAAGCTAAAAAGAATGGTCATTGTAATAAACATGGAACCTATTTCTTTATTTAATCTTCATTATTACATCCTTGATATTTTAAGAGGCAAGTCGTTTTCTGAAAACGCAAATCCAGATGTCACAAATTTAACATTCATAACATGAGAACAAGTCAGAACATTTTCTTTCACATTAGTATGGCTCTCATCTGTTGCCTTTTCTTTTGATGATATGTTTGAAGGCTGTTATGATAACTCAAGGTCTTTATTTGATAGTCTGACTTCATTTCTTTTTTCCCTGACTCAAATGTCACCAGCACATTGGTGTTTTTCAACCAAAGGCCTCTGACACAGCAAAGCTGTGGCGCCCAGCTATTATTACTCTCCTTTTAAAGCCTGACAGTTTGGCCCTTAGAGACATGACACTAAACTCGTCTAGTGCAACTGTACCATTGCCTCTTTGCACACCATTCAATGTGATATTTGTAAACCTGCAACACCTGGCATGAGAAGGTAAGTGGAGAGTACAGAACAATGCTGTACTGGATACAATAGAATAGAATACGTAATGTCTGGTAATATTATGGAAGTTTAATCATTGTCCAGTGGTATCACTAAGGGTCATCATGTTGTTGTTAATCCTAGACTCAATGTATATCATTTTCACTTTCAATTTTCTTCCATTAGGAGCAACATTATTGTTTTTTTTTTTTTTTTTTTTTTTTTTTTAAATGCACCATTTTTAGTTATATATATATTTTCTCCTCATCACTGTCCTGGTGAGGATAGATATACAAATGCAGTAAGTCATACAAAACTCACCGTTTCAGTTGTCAGTGTGAGTAACCTTATCCTTCTCTGGGTTATGATGTTCTGTAAGAATACTGCTTAGAGCATTTCATTTCCTCAGAATTCCCTCATGTTTCCCTGCCACTGTATGTGTAACTCATCTGTGGACATTTTACCTTCCAAAGCCATTCCCTGGGTGCTCTCACTTCAAGGCAGCAAATAGAATGTGAAGCATGTTCACTGTAGAATAGAAAAGGTACCTGTTTAAAATGGCAGGGTACCCACACACACTGTCCTCCTCTGACTTTCACTTAGGAAAGTGATTTATCTGTGACACCCTTAAACTTCACTTGTGAATTGGCTTTTCTGAAAAGGGGAATGAATTAAGTCTAGCTGACAGTGCATGCCAATAAGCTTTGTTTCATTCCTGATGCAGTATTCATTTGTGCCACAGAGCGATTTATTGCATGATTGACAATTATGAGAGGATGACCTAGTTCTTTGTAATTGAACAAAAATGATTTTCAAGGGATGGCTTTACCTTCCATTGCATTGTGTACACCCTTGCCTGAAAATATAGCTGATTTCTTGCCCTAGATACAAATTTAAAGAATTCATGCCTCTGTAAATGACATTTCAAGTTGTGTCAATGCCTGTACATTCATTTAATGCAGTGTTACATTGTTCAGGATTCTTGAATTCCTGTTTTTATTGTGACATGCAAAGCTGACTTTTCAATTATAATATACATGATATATGATATATATATATATGATACGGTATGTATATAGTGTTCTATATAGATGAAAGACTTTCAAGGAGCTGCTTTGGCAGATATTGTTTTACATTGCATTTTACTTATTTTTCATCCGTGATTTATTTTTCTAAATTTACAATTTACTCCATATTATATCTGGTTTCTTGTAAACATCCACATGACAAGCAATAGGTTTAGCGCGACTGGCTATTCAGTCATAGTAGTGATGGTTTGTTGCCAGTGGACTCATTTTTTAAAGTCACTCTGCCAGAGCGATTTTCAGAAAACTCTTTAATGGCATCTAATATTTCATGATTCATACATTTTTGATATTACCTTTCTATTAACTTTTTATTCTGCTTAGTGAAGCTCATTACGGCTGGAAGGAAGTCACACCGACTCTTGGGACTACTGGCTGAGTGGAACCACAAATGATTCAAGCAAGGTTTAGCTGGAAGTTAATATCCTGCAAAATTGTTCTGTGCAGCTTGGTAGAAAATGGGATGATTAAATGACACCAGCATATCAAAACCATTTTTGTCCGAGTACAAGGTGTTAAGTGTAGCTGTTGCAGAGCAGTTCTCCCAAGGTTGCTATTAAAAAGAATAAGTAATTCAAGGGGAAACAAGTATCTCACAGACGGAGGGAGATCAAATGCTACGCTTGGTGCATATTTAAAATGCTAATATCCCTCTTGTATTTCACCGCCTGCATCATGGAGTGATGGTGGACTATTTCCTCCATTGAATGATAACTTGAGAGGCCAGGAGAAAACCAAACCTGAATTTTTAAAAACATCTCTGGTTGTCTAGAACGAAAAAAAATTGTCATCAGAATGGAATAATAGCGTGCTCTTACCAACGCAGAGAAACCTATCTTTTAGCTGGCAACCCAATCGCAAGCGTATCATTTTCAGTCACAGAATTGTATCTTATTATGCCTGAAATAATACAAGCAAAAGTTTGCAATTCTCTGAGTACAATGCACTACCAAACAGCAGGTTAAAGTGTGACATCACTCTCTGCTGCAGGGCCGGCTTGCCGAATCGCTAAAATGCATACTGATTTCCCTCTATAACTGTACAGATGCATTCAACAAAGATGCTTTTACTTTTCATTTGAATGAGTCAAGAAAGTAGTGCATTATCACTGCTTTATTATAACACTGTTCTTCAGTTGTAAATAAAGGTTTAGGTAAAATGTTGATTGAATCCTGGCCATTGATATTTGCTCTTTGTATTAAAAAATGCTGTGCCATTTGCAGACATTAACAAGACCTGAATGAACCAAATAGATGGCTGATTTAAAAATAAAGTCACAAATGAAATGAGTTCACCTACTCACGCTGAATCAAAGGTTGTAGAATTGTCAAAAATATACTCCTGGGAAATTTTTATCTTGATGAATAAGATTTGATCAGCAGAAATATTCTATGTTGTTTACACCCAAAACCACAAATGTATTTAGTTTGTAAAAACTAAAGAAATAGGACATAGGATGTGCAAATGACAAGACAGACGTTCAACTAGATTGCAGCGATTTAACCTGTTAGGTAGATGAACAGATCACACATAGCTTACCTGGGTATGCAAATGTGCCAGTACTTTTATAGCTGCTCAATTAGCCCTCTCTATAAAAATGTGTCCAGCTTCTTTTCATTTATTTATGACATGGGTTCAGATCACCATGTCTTTCATTTCAAATGATGTTTGCCGTATGGCACTTAGTATGACTTAGTACATAATGTCTATTTTGAGTGAAGTCTATATTAGCATATGCCAGAGAGCCACAGCAGTGTTGAGTGAAGACCCTCAGCATGCAGGGGATGGCTGCTACTGCATCTAACTGTTTTCAACACTCAGCTCAATAATTGGGTTGTTTCATTTTTTATATCTCTTGTATGTGACCTCTAATAAAGAGTCTTGTGCGGTTTGTAGCCCTGTTTTTATTCCTTATCCTTTAAGATATGTGTTGTGTTCATGAGTCAAATGGTAATCATTTTTACCTGAACAGTATTTCTAATTAGCTGGGTATGAATTAAAGAGGAAAGTAGATCTGGGCACAGCCAGCCGTGCCTCCATGCCCTAATGGCTGAACCCTGGTCCGACCAAACAAAGCACACACCATATGGGTTTTCATACTTCCACTATGAGAATCACCTTGCTTTTGCTTTCAGTAAACAATATGGCTCAGATGATGCCCAGACATGTTTTCTGAAATGTACTCGATTGTTATTTTTTCTTTTTTGTGTTTTACTGTTTCATAGAAGGAAGACTAAAGGTTGTGAAGTAAAATGAAAAAAGGCTTTAACATTTTGCATGTCTTTGAAATGCCAGAAAAGAGAGCAAACAGGGTAGTCGTTTCTGGTTACATAGATAAAGTGTGTATGTGGCCCTTTCACTCTGTGGAAGGATTAACTGTAGGAAGTGGGGAGCAAAGTTAACATAGTCCTTCATCTTCATTTTTTCCATCTTGTATCATCATCACAATGTCTGGTATTGCTGTAGTGC